CACTTTTGAGATTGTGTATCTATATTTACATGTACATGTGCGTTCATCCATATATATATATATATATATATATATATTGCCTCGATGTTGACTTCAACTAGGGTCGAAGATGCCAACCGAGTATTAGACCTGTGCCACCCTCATGCTTGAACAAATGGTGATACGCAATGTTCAGTGTATGTGTGTGTGTGTCTTGTGTCATGCATTTTTGTTTGGGGGGGGGATACGCGGACTTAGAGTATGGAGTTCAGTTTAGGGTCTAGGGTCTAGGGTTGAGGGTTCAGGCTTTAAGGTTTAGGGTTCAGAAGCCTGCTAAATATTGGGAAAGGCACTGCTGCTGCTGCATGGATCGGCCACACTGGCCCTTGCCATTCTCACCGCAGCAGAACAGCCGTTGAGACCTGGGAACACGAACTTCTACTTGGAGGCGCATGGTACGTATTGACCAATCATAACTGCACTTATGACCCACTGATAAGCCCCTGACGAAGTACCATGAACTTCCAAGTAACTTCTAAGCCCCCAAAACCCCCAAAACTCTAGGATTTCACGATGGGCCATATTTTCGGTATAACGGCGCAGAGCTTTATTTGCGGTTCCTATGACTCTACCATGTTCTACTTTTCACTCCCATGAGAGTCAAGTAGCTTCACACATCCAACGAAACGACCGCCACTCGTGAGAAAGAAACCTTGTGCAAAGCTAGTCTAGGCAGGCTTAGAGGGCCAGAACCCGAAACCCTTTAAACCCTAAACTCTACACCCGAAATCCTACCTACACCCCAAAACCTGAGTCCATGGCTCCTCTTCTGGCGGGTACCAGTCTGGGCTGTCGCGGACCTTGCGCACGCGAGGGCTCTCGAGAGCTCTGCTGAGCTTTGAAACCCGGCTTCGAGGGACGGTTTAGGGTTTTGGAATTAGGGTTTAGGGTTTCGGGTGTGGGACTTTAGGGTTTTGCACTTTAGGGGGGAGCATGGCCTCAAGAACGGCCACTATGGCCCTAACTTCCCCATCCGTGACCGTGGCCAAGGATTTAGGTTTGGAGAACACAGGCTTTCGGGTTTAGGGCTTAGGGTTCGGGATTTGGGGGGGCTTCCAGGGTCCAAGGCACGGAATGCCTCCACTCGGAAGGCAAAGAGAGTGAAGATGCCAGTCGAAATGTACTTGATTGTGACAACTCGACGACGTAAAGTAGACCCAAGAGTAACCTAGGAAAAAACAGGGGTGCCCTTTTAGAGCCTAGCTAGGGTTTAGGGCTTAGGGTAGCTACACCCGAGCGGAACCGAGGAATACAAGTGGCCCTGCTTCGTTTAAAGGGGCTTATTGGGAAGGCTAAACCCTGAAAAAAGGGCCTACAATGGGTCCTAGTAAATCCCAGTCACAGCAGCAAGACAAGTCAAGACACTGTTCCGTGCTGCCCAGTGTTTCCTGGTTTGGCATGCCTTTGTCTTTCTTGAGCCCTAAACCCTAAACCCTACACCCTAAACCCTAAACCCCAAAACCCCAAACCCTACACCCTAAACCCTAAACCCTAAACCCTAGACCCTAAAACCTAACCCCTAAGCCCTAAACCCTAAACCCTACCCCTAACCCTCGGGCTCTGACCATGAGGAGCGTGAAATCATCGCCACACTTGACGTCGCTTGGAGGCGGATATGGAATACCTTGGAGCGCTTCAGGTTTAGGGTTTAGGGTTTAGGGCTTAGGGCTTCGGGTTTAGGGTTGGGAGACGTACAGGGTTTATAGGGTCTAGGGTTCTTTTGGGTCCTAAAGCCTGTGATAAACACAAGCACATCCCGGAAGGAGCCTTTGCTTTCTCAGGGGCCAGTGCCGGTGGCCATTCTGCGATTCAGGGACTTTGCTTGTGGCTCAGACGTGTTCCTTTCTAAGGGGAGTTACACGGTCCCTTAGCATGGGCCCTGAAAAGGGTACCCCTTATATACCCTATACAAATAAAGGGCCCATACATTAGAACCCGTTAAAGGAGGGAAGTAAGGTACCCTCTTAATAAGGGCCCATGAAACTACCCTCAGATCCCTCCCTCTGCCAAAGGCTATGCTTGCTGCTGATTCGTTCTGACCCCTTCCGACGGATCCACTCAAAACACAACCTAAACCTCAAACCCTAAACCCCAAACCCCAAACCATAAACCCCAAACCCTAAACCCTAAATCCTAATCCAGCTCCGGAGGCAGCCCCCGTCGTCAAGCTGTGATTCCGAACACCGCTCAAGCCGACCCTTCAGTTCCAACATACTCAGTTGCCAAAGAAGAGCCACCAACCTTCAAGTTCAAGCCTTACTAAGGTAACCCAAAAACCCTAAACCCTAAACCCTAAACCCTAAACCCTAAACCCTAAACCCTGAACCCTAAACTCAACACTTGAGTTTAATGTCGAGCCACCATGGACTTGTCTTTCGGACTCCAACGGGATGTCCATCATGGTGGTCTGGGGGCGATTTTCTTGGGTTTCGGGTTTTTTTGGGTTTAGGGTTCGTAATTCAGGGTTCAGGGTTTAGGGGGTTTAGGAGTGTTCTCTCTCTCTCTCTCTTTGGGGAATCCGGGCTATAGGTTGAGATGTTCCCCCTTATGCTACGAGTCCTCAATAGGGATTATGATCGGGGGGGGGGGGGGGCTATGATCCCTATTAAGGACTGTTAGTATAAGGGGGAACATCCCAAGCTGCAGGTCACTGAGGGCTTGGGTTTGCAATCTTGGAGGGCTTGAGGACTTAGGTTTGCACGGCAGCTTTAGGGTTTAGGGTTTAGGGTTTAGGGGTACAGGAAGGGGGCATGTCACACAGTTGGGGTTCGATCACTTACCTGTGGACGTTGCAGGTATCTTGGTATCCTAGGCACTGTCAGTTCAGCCGGACTGGCAACATGACACACATGCCTGTTTGGTGTGTTCCCACCCTCCAGGCCCACTGTTAGTGAGCAGGGGCGAAGGGTTTTCATGCGGATGTTCGGCGCATGCACGTTGTAGCGATCTCTGTCCACCAACGACTGAACAGTATGCGCCGGGCGCGAGCGTGAATACAGCAGCCCTAGCAAACCGATGTCTTCAGCAACCGCGCTGCTTGCTACATCTGTCTAGGTGACCTGGGAGTGCGCCGCCTTGAATTCATTGCTACACCCAAGACCGACAAAAACTTCCCAAACCCACAACCCTCAACCCAAAACTCTCAACCCTGAACCCTAAACCCTCAACCCTGAATCCGAAAACCATAAACCCTAAACCCCGAAACCGAAAACCATAAAGCCTAAACCCCGAAACCCTAAACCCAAAACCCTAAACCCCAAACCCCAAACCCCAAACCCTAAACCCTAAACCCTAAACACTAAACCCTAAACCCTAAACCCTAAACCCTAAACAAACAACCAGCTACCGAGGCATCCGCAGGCTTGGTCTGCTGGTGCGACTCGAAGTCGCCGTACTTTTTCTGCGACGTCGAGATCGCCTCCGACAGGGTTTAGGGTTTAGGGTTTAGGGTTTAGGGTTTAGGGTTTAAGGTTTAGGGTTTCGGGCTTAGGGTTTAGGGTGTAGAGTTTGGGGTTTGGGGTATAGGGTTTAGGGTTTGAGGGCGGAGGGGTTTAGGATTTCGGGCCACGCAATGAAGGAGCTCCAAGAAGGCCTTCCGAACCCGCAGCCTCCGAAGGGATTAGGACTCACACGTGGTGAGGGGATTACGGGATGAGGGGATTCGGGGTTTAGGGTTTCGGGTTTAGGGTTTAGGGCTTAGGGTTTTTGGGCTTAGGGTTTAGGGTTTAGGGTTTAGGGTTTAGGATTTAGGATTTAGGGTTTAGGGCGCTTCGGGGATGAGGGGTTTAGGGGTTTGGGGGCTTTGGGTGCCCTTAAGGGCCGGAGAGCCAGGACAAGCAAGACAGGCAAGGCTCTTCTGCCACTTCGGTTGCAAAAACCATTTTGGGAGAGAAACCGGTTTAGGGTTTGGGGTTTAGGTTTAGGGTTTAGGGTGCTCAGCATTTTCCTAGAGGAGGTGCTGGGCCCCCTTGCGACCCTCAAGGGGCTCTACCTTAGACGCCCAAGGTGGTACCCTTGGGTTTGGGGACCCTTTTGAAGGGGAACCTTGCGGAGTCTTAACCCCTTGACCCTTGCGACCCGACACCTCCCACAAAACCTAACGCGCCAATCTTTAAAAAATGCGTTTAGGGTTCATTGAAACTCTTCAGTGTTCAGGTTCGGGGAAGGTTTCGAGGAAGGTGTCGGGACAGTTTCGAGGGGTGTCTTTTCGAACTAGTGGGGGTAAGGGTTTAGGACTTGGTGTCCAGGGGGGCTGCAGCACGTGGACATTCTGACATTCATCTCTAAACTCCAAACCCTGAACCCTAAAGGAATCCTAGACCACAACCCGCATCTCAGTTCTACTCACTCCCCAATGACGCCAAGCCTTTGTCAAAAGGATGAGGGTGTAGGGTATATCCTTCCTTCAAGGTTGGGATTGTTGAAGGTTTTGGAACAGCTTCAACTTGCTGAGCGTGTCCCCTGCCCCCCCCCCCCCCCCCCCCCCCCCGCCCTCGACCTCTGCTTGATTGTAACCCTCCCCTACAGACGAACTCTGTTCAAGACAGTTGAGCTGGTTCGAAAGCGAGTAACACAGGCGTGGATTTGTTTGTTGCGATCGCCGCATAAAAGGACACCAAGTCCCCGCACTCACAATCGATATCTAACCACTACGAACTTTTCCTTACTAGCCGAGCTATCTAGGGGGAGGCATTCGTGAGGTTGGCTTCGGGATTTTTTGGGTTGAGGCTTTAGGGTCAAGGATTTAGGGCAACAGAGACCTGGTGAGATTTTCTTATGTTTGGCATGCGCCTGTCGGGTAGCAATGCCCAAACCACACGGAGCGCTCCGTTCTGAAGTACTGCTATGAGGAGCTAACCTTACATCCTAATAATTTATAAACTATACATTAAGCTCAAACCCTAAACCCTACACCCTAAACCCCCAACCCAAACCCTAAGCCTAAAGTTCCAGAGTCTCACTCACTGGATCTGGTAGAGGTTCACGTCGAAGACCAGCATCCCCGCGGGACGCCCGCCCGCCGGGCGCTCCCCGTACGCCAGCCTCGGGTGGACTTCAGAGCTGCGAAGTTTGGGCTGCTCCCCCTGATACTGACAGTCCTGGTTTAGGGTTTAGAGTTTAGGGTTTAGGGTTTAAGGGTTTTAGGTTTTACGGTTTAGGGTTTAGAATTCAGGGTTGGGATGTTCCCCCGTATACGAAGAGTCCTTAATAGGGATTATGATATCGGGGTACTATATCATCCCTATTAAGGAGCTGTTCGTATCAAGGGGAACATACCAACTTCAAACTTTCGAAGGATCCCAAAACTTGCACACTGAAGGCTGCACCGCCAGAGGGTTCCTCTTGTAGCATATTCCTCTTATGATCGCTTGGAGGTTCATGGTACTTATTAAACAATTATAACTGTACTTATAACCCACTTATCAGCCCCTGAAGTGCCTGAATATGGTAAAAAGAACAGTTGTAAGTACAGTTATAGTCGGTTAATAAGTTAAGAAGTACCATGAACCTCCAAGTATACCCCAAACAGTGAGAGACCGTGTGAGCCCTCACATCCACAAGCAACGAGAGTCTCGCATTTCGCCAGCCCGCACATCCAAAAGTCACGATAGTTTCGACTGTCGCGAGCCAAGGAGTCCAAAAGCGATGATGGCTTCGAGGACGGGGCGCACGGCCACGCCTGTGCCGATTTTCGTCCAAATGCGCGCAAGCCTCGAGCAAAATAACACATGGTCCGCAGCTGGCACGCCGCGCGTGCTAGCCGATCTAGTCCCTTTTGGTTGGCACGTTGGAACGCCTTGGACACACTGTTTGGGGAACTGTGTGGGTGCTTCACCCTAAAACCAAACCCCAAACAGCGAAACCTTAAACCCTAAACCCGAAGCCCCGAGCCCTAACTCTCGAGACCGAAGGTCAGACTCCAGGAGATTCTTACCCCCAAGGATCCCAAGGCCCACGCAGGTGTACGGGTTTGAGGGTATACGGTGAGGGGCTTCAGGGCTCAGGGTGGGGTTGATCTTACTCCTAATGAAATACGGCTTAGGAAAGTTCTTTTGTCTTTCTTCACAATACTATTGTTATATTATGTTGGGCTGCAAATGCAACTAATAAGAAAATAAGAAGGAAAAGATGATAAAGGGTGAAATAATTTATGAGACCATTGTAAGAACCTGATAAGATTGGTCTTGTATTAGTGATAAATATGCTGTAATAATAAGTGCCAGGGAAATATCGTCCATTTATGTATTTTTATTTTTCTGGTTTCCTTTTAGAAGATGTCATATTATAAGCGAAAGAAAATGGGGGGGAAAGTTGTCCATAAGAAATATGAAATAGAAATCCCCTATAAAGCTAGAAGCCTTCATTTTGTCTTCTACTGAGTAACATACAAATATGAATATATATATATATATACACATACATATATACACATATACGCAACCACTATATAAACCCTAAATCCCGAACCCCCGAAGCCAGAGTCCCAGCGGCGGCGCGGGAATCCAGAAGCGCCTCTTCTCGCCCTCGACCATAAGTTGCAGGCCCTCCGTCCAGCCTTTGATGACCTGTTTGGGGTTTGGGGTTTGGGGTTTGGGGTTTGGGGTTTAGGGTTGCTCCAGGAAGGTTTTAGGTATTTCGAGGCGCCTCAATTGCTTCGGGAGTCAAATGTCAATTGGCTTGCTTGCTTGGTTCTATTCTAATTATTGTGTAAAAAGCTTCTCAGACAAGCTAGGAATGAGCCCACCTGCTTGCTTGCTGGGCTTGATATGGGCGTTTCCTACCAAAAAAGGGACCAGCACTCTTTGGGAAGCACCCCCGCATGGGAACGTAACCCCAGCAAAGAAGCTGAAACTATTTGCGCTCGGAGTCGAACTCGTGTCTAGTTTCGGATCTAGTGGCAGGGTTGGGTCTTAAGTCGCGGTCTCGGAACTTGCACCACGGCTTGGGGGTGGAGAAGCCCTGACGTCGAAACTCCAACCGCAACTCCTGAAGTCCACATCCGAAAAGCCCTCAAGCCGGAAAGCTCATAAGCCTAGGCGCTAAATCCTGAAACCCGTGTTTAGGGTTTCGGGTAGAAGCCCTGGCACACCCTAAACCCTAAACCCTAAACCCTAAACCCTAAACCCTAAACCCTAAACCCTAAACCCTAAACCCTAAACCCTACTTAAACCCAAGTGCCCCCCGCCCGAACCCGGCCGATCCTGGTTCAACGCGAAGGTGGCTGGCTGCCCACGCAGAACAGAGGAGTCAAAGAGCTTTCCTGAGGGGCGAAGGCATATGTCCGGGTTATCGTAGGGGTTGTATAGGGGAATACGATCAAGGGCCCCTTCTAGGGGTCCCTCCGTATACCCGTTAAGTCGAGGACAGGCATCAGACTATACTTATAGGGTTCTTAAGGGAGGGGGGTTGAAAGGGGCTAGGTCCCTATGAAAATCTTAGGGAAGCTTTGGGAGCCTTAGGGAGTAGTGGGGAGGATTAGGGAACCTCCCCCCCCCCCCCCCCCCCGTTTGAACTCCCCCTCCCTTAAGACCCTAAACCCTAACCCTAAACCCTAAACCCTAAACCCTAAACCCTAAACCCTGAACCCTGAACCCTGAACCCTATAGTAGGCGGCCTAGCGTCCATCGGTGGTCCAGCCAGTGTAGTCGACGGTGACAACCTCAAAAAGGCTTCGATCCTTACACCCTGCAAAAGCGAGTTCTAACCCTAAAACCTAAACCCTAAACCCTAAACCCTGCAAAACGAGTTCTCGGGTTAAGGGTCCCAAAAAAAGCCGAACCCCCAAAGACCGTGGTACATGGGAGGTTGGATCTGCCTTTCTGGTCTTGTTTTCGTAGCCTCCTTATCGCTTCGGGCACCAGAAAGCTTACGATACTAGGGTACCTTCTTGGGCTCCCAATTATAGGGGATTCCTGCTATTTGGGGGGCCTATTGTAGGGGTCCCTTGTTGTCGTACACCCCCAAGTTTGCAAAAGCCCTCAACCCTAGACCCCGATCTCACCCAGCGTCTAGGGTTAGGGTTTGCGGCCTGCTGGGAGGTGGAGGGTCATATGGGTAGTTCTAGCCACGGCCCGACGACCCTAAACCCTAAACCCTAAACCCTGAACCCTACACCCCCTAAACCCTAAAACCCTAAACGCCCTGAACCCTACTTAACATCTGATCAAGGATCAGCAGACGTAGGGTTCAGCCATAAACCCCAAAAACCCTATAAACCCTACAGCCTCCAACTCTATAAACCCCAAGCCGCGCAAAGGCCTCTGTGCGAAAACATGCCTAGAAACCACTCCTCTGCTTGAGAGTAGTGTCCTAAGCCCAAGCCCCGAACTTTTACCTTCAGATCCCAACGAGATCTATATAGGCGGCTGTCAAAATTATGATCCCTTTTGGGGTACTCTAAATATTAGGTGCCGTATTAGAATAAGGATCCAAGAAGGACCATAATTTTGACAACCACCCATATGACTTAAAACAAACAAGTCCACAACCAAGCCAGCTGCCCTCAGAAAACCTAAAGCCCTAAATCCATAAACCCTTAAAGCCCAACTAAAACAACTCCAGACGACAAACCCTAAACCCTAAACCCTAAACCCTAAACCCCAATTAAACCCCAAGGAAGTAAAGGGCGAGTTGCCGAGAAGGCCTGCGGCTTCCTTGACCCGGCGCCCTCCTTCAAGACCTTCCGGATAGGGTCTAGGGTTTAGGGTTTAGGGTTTAGGGTTTAGGGTTTAGGGCTTAGGGTTTAGGGTTTAGGATTTAGGGTTTAGGGTTTAGGGTTTAGGGTTTAGGGTTTAGGGTTTAGGGCTAAGCCCTCGACCCACCACCCCCAAAACCCTAAGGGTTTGGGTTTCGGGCTTCGGGTTTGGGGTTTTGGGCTAGGGTCGTAGACCCGAGTGTGTGGGTTTTCAGGGCTTGAGGGTCCTGGGCTGTTCGGCTTAAAAGGCCAAGGGAGAGGTTGCCCTGGGTAGAACCTGAACCTCCATAAGCCCCTTAGCACAAAAACCTCAGCATCCAAATCACGTAAATGTCCAACAAACCCTAAACCCTAAACCCCAAACCCTAAACCCTAAACCCCAAACCCGAAACCCGTTTTGTGGAGCCCACGCCGGCCTTGGACGCCAGTCCTGACTCCGTCACCGCAGCGTCGGCAGGGGGCCCTGCTTGGAGGTTCATGGTACTTCTTAACCAATTATAACTGTACTTTTAGGGTTTATGGTTTAGGGTTTAGGGTTTAGGGTAACTGTACTTCTAACTGTACTCATAACCATATTAGGGCACTTAAGGGGCTTATAAATGGGTTGTAAGAACAGCAATAAGTGGTTGATAAGTACCATGAACCTCCAAGTGGGCGCGCGTGGAGCTTGAGGCCGAGGCCCAGGGTTTCTTAGCAGAGTTCTTTTAGGGTTCAGTGTAGAGGGTTTAGGGTTTAGGGTTTAGGGTTTAGGGTTTAGGGTTTAGGGTTTAGGGCTTTTAATCTTAGGGCTCCAAGTATGTAAGTCATACCGACATTGGGGCCTAAAGTCTGTCAAAGAATACCTACTGTTCGGAGCCTTAGGGTTAGTGGTTTAGCAATCTGCTAATTGGGTACACGGACCACTTCGTCTTTTCCCCATAAGCCCTAACCCCTAAACTCTACAACCCTCGACTCTACCCTAAACCCTAAACCCTAAACCCTCTACACTGAACCCTAAAACCTTAAACCTTAAAATGTGAGGGGTGCCTGCGACATCCTGAGGTGTCGCGATGCGCGGCCCCTTCTCTATGCTGTAGAGGGTGACCTTGGCCATACCGAAACAAGGCGGTGGTTTAGGGTGAAGGTTTAGGGTTTAGGGTTTGGGGTTTGGGGTTTGGTGTTTGGAGGCCCTGCAAGCCCTAAACCCTAAACCCCAAACCCGAAGACCTAAACCCCCAGACATCCAGCTGTGTGGTTCAGTCCCGCGGGCATCAAACACCAAGGGCCCACCAGGAGCGCCCCCGGGCGGGTTGTCGCCATACGCCAGCTTGGCCTCGAGAAATCGTTTGGGTTTAGGGTTTAGGGTTGAAGGTGTGCGGCGGGGCGGGCGGCTATGGTCGTAGCTCAGGGTTCAGGGCTTACTTGGAGGTTCTCAAGGGCGAATGTAACCTGGGTTGTAAGCAGGATAACTGTAGTTCTAGCTGATGGAACCATATGGTCGGTCTAGCCGTAACTCAACCCCAAGATATCAGTACCTACAAACGTTGAGGTAGGTTTGCTTTCTATTTGTTTGGGGGGGGGGGGGGGGGGGGGGGGGGGGGGGGGGGGGCGCGTCGGACTGGTTGTTTCAAAATACCTATTCCTAAAATGACCCTATGTTTCCCTTATCAACCCGTAGAAACCCTCCACAATTTCTCAGAAGGACCTTTAGACCTTTAGATCCCTAAACCCTACGTTTCCCTTATAAACTGGTAGAAACCCTACATTCATTTCCCAGAAGGACCTTCAGCCGTTTATGTGTGCTTGGGGAGCGTGGGGTATTTAGGGCCAGGGTTTCCCCTTCATGGGCACGTCTCAAGTCTGGAGATTTTTGTTGGTTTAGGGTTTAGGGTTTAGGGTTCAGGGTTTAGGGTCCAGGGTGTAGGGCCGATAAGGCTTCGGGGTTTATAGTGGTGAGGTTGGCGCTGCGAGGATCATTTGAGTGGGGATCACGCTGAATTCAGGTCCATAGCTGGATGCCTTGAATAATTACAAAAAGGACCCAGCACTGGGAGGTTCAGGGTACTTAGTAACGCATTATAAGTGTAGATATCACCCACATGTAAGCCCCTTAAGTACTCTAGTAGCGTGTTAGAGGATGGGGTGATAAGTACAGTTATAACTGGGCTACTCATTACTAGGTACCATGAACCTCCCAGCAGAGGGGGGCCTGAGTCCACCATGCGGGCAACTCAGCAAAGATACCTTCCCTTTTTGACAGGAGCGCAAGGAGCGCCAAAATACCCCTTAGTTAAAGAATGTACCTTCACGTACATTCAGGATCTCGAATTTAGGGGCCTTAACAAACTGAAAATGGGTTTTTGTTGGGGGCGACTGTTGTGTACTGATTGTAAGGACCACAAGGGAATACTATTAGTAGTTATTCCAACCCCTTTAGTATACAGTTAAAGCCAATACTCCATAACTTAGGGGGTTCTTGCCCTAAACCCCTAAACCCCTAAACCCCTAAACCCCTAAACCCCTAAACCCCTAAACCCCTAAACCCCTAAACCCCTAAACCCCTAAACCCCTAAACCCCTAAACCCCTAAACCCCTAAACCCCTAAACCCCTAAACCCCTAAACCCCTAAACCCCTAAACCCCTAAACCCCTAAACCCCTAAACCCCTAAACCCCTAAACCCCTAAACCCCTAAACCCCTAAACCCCTAAACCCCAAACCCCTGAAGCCCGGTGGCAGGGATCCAAAAGCGGCGCTTCTCCCCCGGCGCCATGAGCTGCAGTCCTGGAGCCAGGAAGCTATGAAGAAGCGTAAGGTGCGCACTTGTTCAGTGTTTAGGGTTTGGGGTTTAGGGTTTAGGGTTTAGGGTTTAGGGTTTAGGGCTTAGGGCTTAGGGCTTAGGGTTTAGGGTTTCGGGACCCTAGACCCTCAACCCTAAATTAAGGTTTAGGGCGAATCTAGGGGTCAGGAGGATATTCGTGTCCAGGCGAAGTCCTAAGCCCTCTAAGGTGCATTCCCTAAAACCTAAGCCCTAAACGCTGAAATCAGGGCTGTCTCGGTCCTTCTGTCCATCCCTAAACCCCAAACCCTTCAACCTTGAGGGCGCAATCGTTTGTGGCGTTTAGGCTTTAGGGTTTGGGGATTTACCGGGGATTTAAGGCTTAATTAGAATAGGGTTTAGGGTTTAGGGTTTAGGGTTTGGGGTTTAGGGTTTAGGGATTAACAGTTCAGGGCTTTGGTCCTTCTGTCCATCCCTTGATCACCTGGCTCACGCCGAAAGTTGTGCGCTGGCCGCGCTTCACGCTGGAGTCGAACCTGGGCCGCTCTCGCTGGGCGGTTGGGCCCACGTTAGGATTCGGGTGTGCCTCAAGAGCAACCTTGATACGCCTGAAAACAGGGGAGCGTACCTTTATGGTGGGATAACACCCTAAACCCTAAACCCTGAACCCAGAAGCCTATACCCTAAACCGCCTAAACCCTAAACCCTAAACCCAGAAGCCTATGCCCTAAACCGCCTAAATCCTAAACCCTAAGCCCTGAATCCAGAAGCCTATACCCTAAACCGCCTAAACCCTAAACCCCAAACCCTAAACCCATGACAATCCACTTGTACAAAAGGGAACCGGAGGTTTGATCACCTTGACAAAGGCCCTAAGCCCCATCCGGCTTAGGGCTTCCAGCTTCGGGCTTAGGAGCATTTGGGGGTTTAGGGGTTTAGGGGTTTAGGCTTATAGGGATCGGGGCTGCGGGGTCTAGAGTTCAGGGACTCAGGTCTTCACCTCTTGCGGCGCAACCCCTGGCGCCAAGCAGCATCTTGCCGTTGGGCTGCCAACCGGTGTAGTCGACGGTTACCTGGATCTGCTCAGGGCTGCCCCTCTAGGGTTTCGGGGCTTAGCGTGGAGGGTGAGGGTCTGAGGTTTGGGGTTTAGGGGTTTAGGGCTTGGGGTTGAGGGCTTGAGCAGATATCCGGTTGGGGCTTCTAGCCTTTCAGGCTTCTAGCCTTTCAGGCTTGCGGGTAGGTAGTTCGATTTAGCTAGGCTTCAATGTTGTTTCCTGAATTGGGGGATGCAAGTATGCAGCTAGCTACTATTTGCTTAATTATCTTACTTGCCCTTATAAGGAGGAATAGTTTGTTTTTTGGGTTCTTAAGCAATCAGCTACTGTACCCTGCATACAAGTAGTTAACCCGTGAGCCCTCAAAGGGGCATGCCGCGGGGGAAGGGGGATTTCCATCCGAGCCACTCAACCCACAGTCCTCTAGCCCTGCCTACAGCAGACCCTAAACCCTAAACCCTGAACCCTAAACCCTGAACTCTAAACCCTAAACCCTAAACGAACCGCAGGAGCGATGCAAGGGGTACTGCAGCTCGGATCTAGGCTTGGGGTTGTCGATTTTAGCGCGAGCCTGCCACCGAAGGAGGTGACTTCGAAGAAGGGTTTTAGGGTTTAGGGTTTATATGTTTATGGTTTATAGGGTTTAGGGTTTGTAAGGTATAAGGCTATAAGGTTTAAGGTTGAGAAGGTTTAGGGCGTATAGGGTTTACAAGGATTAGGGTTTATAAGGTTTAGGGTTTATAGGGTTCATAAGGATAAGGGTTTATGG